AATACACAATAAGCCCCAGGAAGGACAGTTTCCTCTGCTCTAATGAAGGGACAAATCCATGAATGTTTAATTTAAACTTACTTTTGTGGTTTGGGCCCACTTGCAAAATATTGGTTCTATATTGGGACTAGGTGTATTGCTTTATTTGTATTTCTTATTGTTTAAATGACTTTGAAATTGAAATAGAATTAAAAATTACATCCGAATGTCGAAATACCTCTCATAGTAAAATCTTATCATTTTAACCTCTGAACCAAATTAGGTGTCTAGAGAAGTGGAAAGGCAGGTTCATTTGTCATGAAATTAAACCTACCATGTGGATGAATAAAGTTTACATTTTAGAGCAAACTAATGGGTCCGAGGTGTCTAGAACCTCATTACTAGGACTTGTTGGTGCTTCTGCTAATTCAAGGTTAAAACTAAGAGAGAAAGCTGTTAAGTGCATTAAATTAAAAGGTCCAGGGATAGTGGTCGTGGTTATGAATCCTTAATACAAAAACAACAACAAAGAGGCAGTTTATCAGCAAGTTAAATGATTTTTTAACAATGCTTTGTATTTCTTCTTTACCTCCTGTCTTCTCAACCAAGAGGCCAGGCCTGTTGTTCGTCTTTCATATTCCTCATGCCTGGCACACACTAATGGATGATTGAGGGGCTGTGCAGTATGTGCAGATGGATGATTCTTCATCTTTTTCTTTCATATTTATCATAGAGGGCAATGTTAGCACTTCTTTAGTGCTTATTAAGTAATAGGCACTAAGTACTAAGCTTACATATATCTCACATAACCTTCAAACTAACTATTGATATTTGGTGTTATTCCCGTTTTACAGATGAGGAAACTCCAGAGCCCACATTCTATCATACAAACTGCCTCTTTTTTTATGGCCAGTCATAAATTCTCTATACTTTATAACTGCATGTTTTCAAAGTGACTTTCAGTTGTTAAGCTATAAGAATCTCCAGAAACAATATGTGTATGGTAAAGGTTGTATGAAAAAGGAGGCAAGTACCGAGTCATATGGGAATACAAGAGATTAAATGAAGTCCGAGACCTCAATTTTCCAGGTAAAAAATAAGGATATCAAGTTTTCCCAAAAAAGGGGATGGCGATTTCACCAAGCTGGTCATCTGGTATTGAATACGCACAGGGCCAAAAGGTGGGAAGAAAGAAATAACAACTAGATAACTGTTAGGGATTATTATGAATCAAAAAATAAACTATTCGAGGGACTTTAGTTTCTCATAGAATAAAGTAGGTGAAAGGCAAAATCAAAAAGTCCCTCTTACATTTTTCCTGTTGTTCCATCTCACAGAAGTGCTAAATATATTATCTGGAAGTCCATAATACCTTAAATAGTTCCTTGAAATAGTTTGTAAAACTTACTTATCTGTGTAGTCTCATGCTATTAGAAGAACCTAATTACCACAAAGAGAACAGTGACTTTATAATTTTTTTTCCTTGTTTGCTCAACTGGTTAGTCCTGAAGTAGAAAGGGGGAAAACGTGCATTTTGAAGTCAATTGTATTGGCGATGCCGTTATTATTGTTTTGTTGCAAGGTGCCACACCTGTGCTCTGCAGTAACAAAGGTGAGACAGGGTGTAATGAAGACAAGGTAAGGTGACAGGTAGGTGGCACAGAGTATGGAACTTGCATTTTTGCATTGTCAGTACTGGGAAAAAATTCAGAAAGTTCAACTGCGGCTTTAAAAAATAGCTGGTGATAAGAGTACAGTGAAAATATGCAGGTTTAGGCAACAATCATTACATACTGATTATTTTTCAGATAATCCTAAGAACCTGCAATTCTAACATCATCAACTAACTTACAACTCTAAGGCAAATGTCCTCTTTTCCTATCAAGTATGGGTAGTTTCCTTTCTGGAAAAAAAAATGCAAATCATTTTACTCCAGTATCCTGAGTTTTATGCATATACTACTTGGCAGTTTACACTGTTCAAATTATAGCCACTTCTGGAAAAAGCAAGTCCAGTCTCCTTTAGAATAATCAGCACTCTCCCTCCCCACCCCTTTTCTCATAGGAAATTTGTACACAGAAACAACAGTAGGTATCAGGACACAGAATATCTAAGCTATAGGCACGTAAGGAAGGAGGGATTAAGATATCAGGTTGTCAGTAAAAAGTAAAAGCCAGTGGCATTCAAAAATAGTTCTAAAAATAACCTCTGTAAAGCAACACAACTGGTATACCGCAGGGTTGGAAGAGCAGGCAGCATCCGAACAATATCTCAACATAGTATACAAAAACTTATTGGTTGTTAGTCTGTCTGGGCCAGCAATTTGCATCTATCAGGTCCACCCTTTATAACAGTACTGTTCTCTCCATTTACTAAAGTCACATTGCTAAATGAGGTCTATTTGACTCTCAACTCCATGTTCTCTGTTCTGAGTCTGTGTGTACAAGACCAAATTCTGTTTAGAAAATTTATCATTAAACTAGTATTTTATTCAACCCAATATCATATAAAAAAAGAATCAATTACTTGCTCAAACAATGAGCCAGTGGCTGGGAACTGGAAATCTATGTAACTGAGAGTTTCTTCTTTAAGAGTGAAAAAAGATAGTTAAGTAGAAATATGTATTCTCAAAGAAGCATTATGGACATGTCTAAACTATGCAATAACTGTTAATCAGATTAACTTTTTCCCTTCAAATTTCCTTTTTATTTTAAGTTGTTAGCCCTTATTTCTTTTTTCTTCTAATTAAGTGTATATCTTACGTATACCTTGTAAATTGTAAATTTTCTATCTGAAATTTCAATACCAATGATGAAGTACAAAGCAAAAAGCACAGGCATGTCAGTTTGGATAAAATACTGTCACAAATAAGCCAGAAAATCATTATAGACCAGTGATAATTCATACCTTTCTGGTAGCAATGATATCTAGAGTTAAGCTGATGACACTGAACGCTGAGTCCTCTTGGAAAATGTCCAGCACCGTTAAGGTCACAGAGGAAAATATTAAAACAGGACACCAAAACATTTTTCCCCTTCCCACTGAGTGTTTATTTTATAGCTTTTGCATCAGGTAATCAACTGAAACACTTCAACAACACAAAGCTGGCAGAATGTGAAGGAAAAGGAGTGATTATCTCTCCAACAGATGTGACAAAATGGTTTCAGGTTGGAAACAGTACTGCATAAATGAATCAACTGAATGGAGGAGGGAGGAGAGAAGAGAGAGAAAGCAGAAACAGAGCAAGGAGTGAGCATCTTCCAACATGGACTGTAGCGGGGAAAAGGCACTGTTTAACTGTCTGTGTATTTATAAAATCGAAATCAAAATATACAATCCATGTTTCTCAAAATTACATTCGACACTGCTTTAGAGATGCTCACACACCTGACTCTCACCAGCAAGCTACGGAAGCTGTCTGAAAGACCAGGTAGGCAGCACCAGTGTGTCTGAACCATAGGCTTACCAGTAATGTGTTTTAAGAGATCATCACCATCAGAGTCCTTTTACAAATAGCACTGCAAAGGTCACAAAGCTGTATGAACTTAAGTTATAGGCTAAATCGGACTAACTGATTACCCGTTTCAATCTCTAAAACTCTCACTCCAGGAATTCAGAAAGTAAGCTCCACCGCACAGGAGCTGAATTGGCAGTGCATCTGAAACAGGGTCGCCTTTCCCTTCAAAAGGCTGCTTCAACTGCAGTTTAGCTGGCATCAGAAGGCAACTTTGCACAGGGTAAAAGGATGCAAAAATTTAACAGCAATCGCCCTGCTTCCTCTCAAAGTAAATATCGTTAATTTATAAAGAGGCAAGTTTCAAATCCTAAATTAGAAGCACCTGGGTCTCCTAAAGACCACTTCATAAAAGGTTACAGTACCGGGTGCTTCTCATAATAAAAGATTCTAGGACCGTAGGTGTGCAGATAGATGGTTTACACAGATGTTCTCTATGTAGAATTTGAATATAAATTAAAATACCAGCTATGCATTTGGGAACCAGCCTTTAGTTAAATTCTCTAGTGCTTTTAGAATTTTTATTTCATTTTATTAGAAAAAAGAGAATCATTGTCTACAAACTATTTTCTTTCTAACTATGCAAATACAATGAGCAAATCATCTGTAATATCAAAATACTGTTTGTAAATCACTGATGGCACTAACAATTTTAGGAATTTTCAATAGCACATATATTAAGAGCATCAGTAGATTTCAAATCGTAGCCATTAACTGAATTTTAAGAATAGAAAATAAAATGTAAAGTTCAAAAGTTGGTAAATTCAAGTTCTCTGATTTTCAATAGTTTAAACCCAATCATCAGGAATTCAGAAGCACCTAATATGTTTGAAGTTGCACAAATGTGTATGGATGATAGAAAAGTAATCCCCATGCAATATTTTAAGTGTTGCTATCAGATATACTTAAGTGGTACTGTATAGATTAAAGCTGGGTAAAATCAAAATATATCCTTCCCATTACATTTTAAAACAGTCACAATAATTTATCGACAGTTGCCATTTCACAGCAATTAGAAAACAGGAGTTGATACAAGTTGAACAAAAAGGTACTTTTTCCTCTTTTAGGAAATAAACATATAGAGATATATAGAGATATATATACACACACACACACAACATTATCTTTTAAAATTCGAAGTGGTTAATTTGCTTTTGTATTATAAAAAAAAAAAAATTCCCTATGATCAAAATGCTGAAAAAAGAAAACTACATTTGCCACTTTAAAAAAATACATTATTGTCTCAGTGGTTCTATATATCTGATTATAAAGTTAGGTATTATAAGGACTCTGCACTCATCAAGACTCTCAGGACATATTGGACCAGAGGGAATTAAATCTAACTCTTTTTCCAGTCTCCAGGAAGGATACTCCTAACTGACCCTAAAAGATGATAGAACCCCCTTATTCTGAACAGTTATACTGGAAAAGAAAACATGTCCACCTGGAAACAATCTAAGTCATAAAACTTTATGCCTGAATCAAAAAGCTATTCTTTGGATATAAGTTAGGAGCTTTTGTTAAGTATATAAACTCTCTTAGGTCACTAGAGTACATATTCAACAATGATTTCTCCATAAATAATGATCTCTCTATTACAGAAGCCAGTAAACTACAACCCCTTGGTCCATATCTGGCATGCCACCTGTTTTTGTAATAAAGTTACACTGGAACATAGCCATGCTAATTCATTTATGTATTGTCTATGGGTGCTTTTGTGCTAAATGGTAGAGTCGAGCAATTGTGACAAGAGACCGTATTATCCGCAAAGCCTAAAACATTCTCTGGATTTTTACAGAAAAAGTTTACTGACCTCCTGATCTCGTGCACTATGTGCTACTCTAGTTACGTAGAAGAGTTAATGCACCTCAAGAAGATTTCAGCATGTTCTCCAAGAATAACCTGCATACTGGGGTTCCTTAGCAGATAGATGTCAAACACCCCACCTTGGAACAGTGCTTTACTTTTGGGCAGGAAAATAAGTTGTATATATTTTCAACCAATATCTGTAAAAGTTAGTAAATATACAAAAAAGAAAGCCAAATAAAAAAAGTATGCTGTTGATATTCTCTTAATATTCTATTAAGAGGAAAGGGTGCTAAAATGATTCCTCTCAACTTCCTTTAGCTTTCCTTTAAATTTGTTAATAAACGTTTTCTGATAAGTAGTGCTCCTTCCTTGCCTCCTATACAATTAATGACCTTTATAGCAACCTGCCTAAAATGCTTACAGTTTGGTGAGGCTTTGTTTGGGAATATTTATTTCAACTATATATATTAAAGATTATTCTTTTAGAAAATGTTTCTAAAATCTTTTTTACTCCAAGGAGAAGGTAAAGAATGCACAGGGTGATTAAATTCTGCAAAATATACCTTAAAAACCAGAAGTATAAAATAGCTACCATTTCTGACTGGTAATGTGAAATAAAAACAGAAAAATTTTCCAAATTTGAAGAGCAAATTTACCCCAGCCCTGAGTCAGCTAATGAAGTCTTTTTCAAACAGGGATCCTCCTGAAATCAAGCAGCTGCTCATGAATCGTTAAGAATTCACAGGTGTTTCATATTTCAATAGTTGAAACAGGGAAGATAAAACAGAGATCTTTATCAAACACAAATTTATATCAAGATTAACTTTCCTCCAACCAGCTTATAAGTGGACTTTCCCTTTCTTTTTTTTTTTTGGTTAAAAAATGAATGGTACAAAACTATATGTTAAAGATGTTTCCATAATACCTTACATTTATATAGCGCTTTACAGTTTTCAAAGTGCTTTCACATGCCATCTCATTTAATCCTCACAATATCCCTGTGAGGTAGGTACAGCAGGTATTATTACCCTCATTTCAAGATGAGGAAATTGAGGCAGAGAGGTTAAGTGACTTGCCCAAGGTCACACAGCTGATTAAGTGGCAGAGCCAGTACCAGAAATCAAGTTTTCTGACTCCTTGTCCAGTACTCTTTCCACTGTAACTACTGCCCCCAATTATGAATAATGTACTGTGTATCAAAATTGAAAGGTCATTAAAGTTCATTACAGTGATAAAGTTAAATGAGAAATACAAGAACAGTAGGTCTGATGGTTTTACTTGACATAATAAAATTGGTGCAAAACCACTTTTGTCTAATTACTTATAACCTTTTGGTCCAAATACATAAAATATGCAATATTTACAGCATTTTCCTTTTTTTTGTAAATGCAATGCTTTAAAACACATTATAAAGCACCTTAGTAAAAATAGTCTACAAGTAAAAGTACAGAAGAAGTAGGAAAATCCTACCCATACCACAGCTCACTAATGGAGTTATAATATGGAGTCACTGATATCTCAGTTTACAGCTTTACAAATAACCCATGGAGAAACAATACTAAATTTATCTTTTTTGATATTAATGTGTGGAAGCCTTAACTAAAACTTCAGGCAATGTCAACATTCTTTGAAGTATCTCCCCAATCTGGGGTGACAGGAATGAGAAATACTGCTTTGACTCTTTTTACAGTATTAGTAATAGTTTAAATTGGTTTTTAACACTAACGATAATTATTTTTAAAGAAAATTAACATGACCTACATATATATGGGAATTCCAACTATAGCAGAGACATTTCCTAGCAAACGTGATCAAACATTCCAACAAATTTCATGAGACGTGATTCACAAAAACAAAGCACATACGGCCAAACAGTTAATAACACTATTCAGTAGAGGTGTTCCATCCAAACCTCCAGGTAAAGGTGGAAGTAGCAAATGGATTCATCTTCATTCACGGTTAGTTGAAAAAATGCTCTGTCAAAAACATAGTAGCTGAACTTTTTCTAAAATTGTAATTAGCCTTTTGATTAGAACTGCTATGTGTTTATTTTAGGTGCTGTGTAGGTTTTTTCCAGGCAGGAGGTTATAATCCCCACCAAAATTTAACCAGGAAAAAAAAAAAAGGCTGAAACGAAAACTTCTTAGCTCACTGATATACCAGTCAGTATCTACTTGATGTTATTGTCTGTTTCCTAACTCGGCTCAGTACGAATTGTCTTATACACCTATCAGCAATCCAAGTTGTGGAGTCGAGAACTAAGGTGAAGACAGGGTAGAAGTTTTAGTTCAAAAATCTAATAGTCACAACACCTTGTACTCAGTTTGATTTAGGGTAAATCTTCTCATAAAAAAAGTTTTGTGCGAGGATGTAGAGGTCTCCATCTTTTTCCCGTACAGCGTGCGCTCTGATGAACTGGAACTGCTCTAGTGCAAATTCATAGAACTCATTCTCCATTTTCCAAATGTCAGACTGCTGTAATTTTGCAATGGTTTGCTTAGTGGGAAGTTTCTTCTCTGTGGTTTTCCTAAGATGAGATTTCTTTCCTACTTACAAAGGGGGGAAAAAAAAGGTAAATAATTCTGAGAACAGACACAAGATCAATGCTTCTTTATTTAAAGAGATGGTTTAACTTAATATGGCATGTTGAACAACAGGTAACACAATTGTTTTGTATTACTATCGCTCAGGAAAAAACAGTGCCCTAATCATACTGAAACTATGATTTACTTCTTTATAATGTGAATCCTTAATCTGTTAAAGACTTAATGAGATGTCCAATAGTAAAAGTAAGGATTGCCACTCAGTAAAATGTAGGCTATCACAATACATACTGTATTCTCGAATGGTTGGTGCTGTGACTAGTTCATTTTTAAAAATATGATAAAATATCTATTTTCAAACTTAAATACTAATTTCTCATTACCTATACTTTATATAATTATGTGTTAGCAGTTATTTAGGGCATATGCATAACCTAGAAAAAGAGTTCCTATGACTGTATCTTATCAAAGAATGGCAAAAACAAAACAAAAACCCTAAAAAACCCCAAATTATATTGACCAGCACAGTCACTTTCAGGAGTACTCTCACAGACATAGCACATGATCATTACAAACGGGGCTGAGTCCTACCGCCACCTCTACAGGTCCAAGGCCAGAAATCATGGTCATAATGTTTGGTATCTGGGATTATTAAATATTACACATTTCTAAGACTGGTTCTGTAGTTTGTATTTTTCTACTATTCCTACAACGCCTTCTAATTATCACCTAATGCATGTTTATTCATTCGAAAAATATTTAATGAACACCATCTGTGTGCCAGGAATTGTTCTGTATTGAAAATGGTAGGGAAAAACAAACAACATATCTGCCTCTCTGGAGTTATTTCTTGCACTTTACTCAAGAAACTACTAATCACACAAGTTGCAGTCAAACAAAGAAAGTTAAGGACAGTTTTAAAAAGAAACCCATCATTTATATACCTGTACGGTAGAGTTCTGTAGCACCCCTGAAGAACCGGGGCAAAGCTGCCTCCAATAACATGATAAAATCTTCAAGCTCTTCAGTAACTCCCACCAGGAAGTATTCATTAATTAGATTATACTTGGCTTGATCCATAGCCCACCTGCTTCCCACATTCCTAAAACCAAGAAAAGGAGTTAAGAACCTGGTTGTACAATCTGTTAAATATTTTTGATGGCTTTGCAACTGTATATTATAGAGAAGATAGATAAACACATGTCCAATCCAAAGCCTTAGTTCCCTTTTGCTAATGTCCTTTGGAGGCACACTTGTTTTTCATTTCCTTTGCCTCCATCCCCAGTTTCTGCGCAACTACGCAGTGCTAATTCAGACTTTACAGGTGATGCTTAATATTAACAAAGTTTAGTTTGAGGGCAGTTAATAAGTGTGTATAGATAACATATGTTCCTCTTATCTGATTTAGTATGAGTGCATTTAATTTTTTTAACTACTTTAAACTAAACTTTATTCAATTTAAGAGCTCTCTGAAAAGGTCTAAGCAATTTGTGTTTAGTGCTCATCTCAATTTGTGAGCTTAGGTTCTTCTGTCATTTCTGAGGAACAGAAGTCAGATAAGAAATGGCTCTGCCAGGAATCTTTTATTTTTTACATTGTTAGCTAATGGTTGTTAATAGAGATTTGTAAATAAACTATCCTTTTCAGGTCTTTTTAGCACTGGCATTCTCTAATCTTAATTCTAGCTCTGCCTTTAAGCAGTGTGATATTGAGCTGGTGACTACCTTTTTTAGATTTCTCAGCCATTAAAAAGCTGTGGTGAGGGATGTGGGAGAGTAAATTAGTTTATTTCTAAGATCCCTCCCAGGTCTATGAATCTATGAAACATATTTAAGAAGTTCAATTGCCCAATAGAGCAATATTCTTTATTGTTCTAAGAGGGGAGTTAGAAAACTTTTTCTACAAAGGGCAAGAGAGTAAATATCTTATGTTTTGCAGGCCATATGGTCTTGGTCACAATTACTCAACTCTGCTCTTGCAGCATAAAAACAGCCACAGACAATAAGTAAACAAATAGATGTGGCTGGGTTCCAATAAAACTTTATTTATAAAAACAGGTGACGGTGACGGGCCAAATTTGGTCCCCAAGTTATAATTTGCCAATCCCTAATTCTAAAGAAATAATTGAAAATTGAGAAGACATTCTTCCTATGCTACTATTATGCTTTGATGTAATCTATTGAGTAGGACCTTAAAGTTCACAGTAATCAAATATATCTCAAAAAAATGAAGAACAAAAGGCGTTCCCTGCATTTGTCATGGCTTTAAGACAACTAACTTTCAATTCATTGATGTCTTTTTCCACTTTTCCTATTAAAATTATAACAAATGAACACATACCATTATTTTAACAACTAAAAACTCAGCACATTCTGAGAAAATAAACTCTTTATTAAAGATAAAATATCTTTGTTTTCTACCTCATATTTCTTAGCAGACGAAACCTCAACCATAACCTTGGCTTCTCTCAAAGTTAAAATCAGTTTAAAAGTAAAACCAGATGAATACATTAGCCATTTGCCTTTTCTTGATCTAACATGAATGGCTAAAACAGTAACCTTAGGAGAAAATGAGGTTTATGAAGTGATTCCTGATTTCTAATTAAGAGCTCCACTAGAATACAGCAAAACGTGTATTAAAAACAAACAAAAATTAAAAAACTAGTATCTGAGAAAACACTGCAAGGATATTACATATGAAGAATCTTTTTCATGCACGTAAAGGTAACCACAAAACTAGGTATTACTTAATTACGTGTTATTTTTAATCTGGTCTTTCACTAATGTCTTTATACCTAACTCCTGACTAACACTTTTACATTTGTGAAATATAGATTATAGAGATAATGAAGAGGATTATCAATTCAAGCTAATTTTATCTTCCTACCTACCAGCATTCCGAGCTGTGGCCACAGAAGAATGGGATTTGAAGCCAGAGCTTCTCTGGAGCACAGTCTGAGCCGCCTTCAGCTACACATTCATCAAAGGTCTGGAACAAAGACAAAGCAGCATATGTCAGCCATAAACCCAAGTTTCACTTATCAAATATCTTAATGTGGTAAGTTATTAAGTGGGCAGCAGTGGGTGGGACGAGACATTGAATTAAAGGGATAGAAAGGTTATGAACACATATCTGAGATACTGAGGAGAGTGAAACATGTTTTTTTCCCACACCTTTGCTTTTATGCCAATGTTCATATGAGTTCTTTCGCTGTGTAAATAGAATTCCCAAGCCCACGTGCCAGATAAAAATCTGTCCTTGAAAATAAATATTGGTTTATGTTGAATTTGTGTATTTATGTGAATTTGTATATCCCTTACCAAAGGAATATTAAATAAAAACAAGGCTAAAGATACTTTGTGAAATAATCCTTTGAAAAAACTATGAAGTAGGACTACATTTATGTCTTTTCTCTTCTTCTCATTAAGTCAAACAAAAAAATCACTGTACAAAGCAGAAATGACTTGCATGTCCTCCTCTCCAAATACATCTGACCGAATTAATTAAAAAGGAAAGAGACTCACAGGCTACGGATCTAAAATTAATCAACTTCACTTTCTTGAGTACTTATTGTCTGTCACAGGCATTTTAAGGGTAGGCATTATCTATCTGAAATGATATAATATTGGGATATTATACACTTAGGAGCTTTGGTTGTTTCAGTGAGACATCTACAAATACCATCTGATATTTCTGAGAAGAGGAAGTATGAAAAAGTACAAAGAGCACTCATCTTGAGTCAAGGCTCCAGAATTTTTAGATCCAGGTTTTTTTTGTTTTAGAAGCTTAGCATCTACTCTGATTCACCTACCGAATATTTTATTAGACAATATAATAACAGAAAAATAGTTTGGATTTTCCCTTCTTTATGGTCCTTCTTATCATCTGGGAGAGGTGTTTCACTCCTAGCAAATAAAAGAAACAACCCAAAGGTGGCCAGAAGCAAGAAAGATGTGGAGAAAAAAGAAACAACTATGAATAATCAAAAATTGGTGAACATACGTGAGTGTGACAGATCTTAAGACTATAACAGAAATTCTCCCATTTTCATATAGATATCTGACGAATAAAGTAAACCAAGTATTTCCTAATGAGAGAAACCAAATTAAGACAACTCAATACTATCTTTACTACACACAACTCGATGGATCAGTCCATTGAGATCTTAAGATGAACTGCTGCCCTGACTCCCAAAGTGACATCGGAACTTGGGCTTCTCTACACCTATCACAGAAGACTGTCACTCAAATGCATGGTCACTAAAATTTTCCTGCTTATTTTCTAACTTCTATTAGCCTTCTCCTAAACATTTTGGTCACATTTCGGAAATAATATTGTGTATAAATAAATACTTTTTATAAAACTTCAAGTCCTTAAAATAAAAATAAAAAACAAATGAATGAAATAAAAACACTCCCGACTTCCTCTCCTACAAAATCCAGTTCAGTACACCAGAGAAATAGAAAGTTATGATAAGCTTTTTCACTTAAAAACCACTTATGGTTTTTAGAAAGAGCAATTCTTTGTGAACTACTAGACACAAATGTTTTCGAAAGTGTGAAATATCAAAATGTTCTTGAGAACATTTAGATTATTAGTTCAAATATTTAACTCCTAATTGAAGGGTAAAAAAAACTTAAAATTTGATGCTTGAGAGTGATATCAATTATATTTAATTCAAACCCTTTTCTGCAAATGATCTCGCTTTATAGTTTATATAGAAAACTGAAGCTAAGTATGAGCTCTCTTGATTTCCTGCTTAGATAAAAGTTTATTTGCATCTATAGCCTCCTACTGCCCTCATCTTTAAAGAAGTATTTCCTTTTCCGATCTTTGAACACCATTCTCACCCCCTTCTGAGACCCTGCTTCATCAATTTTTCTCTAGTTCCCTGTATCAGCACCCCTTGCTGTCTTCAGATATATTAATATGCCCAAGTGTCTGTCATCTTAAAGAAACTTTTCCTGTTATTTTTCTCTTTCTTTCAAAGCCAAACTTCCATCCTAAGAGTAGTCTTTCCTTTCAGTCTTAACTTCATCTCTCAGTTTACTCCTCAACTCTTTGGATTCCACTTGAACTCCTTTCTCTGACATCCCTAATGAACTTCCTGTTGACAAATCGAAGGAACAGATTTCAATCTTCACTTCACTAACTTCTTTGCAATGGAAATTATTGTCCTATCCATTTCAAGATCTTGCCAGGTTTGTCTTCTGATTCTCTGACATCAGTCTCTTAGCATGCTGCTCTTTCTCTGTTTATTCCTTAAATGCTGGCGTTCCCCAAAGCTATATATTTATACCCCATCTTTTTCTTCTTCCTTTTTCATTTGGTTCTCTTTTCATAATCTATATGTCTTCCAAGTGAAATTTCATTCAATCCCTTGTTTCATCTCCTATCTAATGTTGATGACTCCCTAATCTATGATTTAGTTCAGACCTATTTTTTAAGGTACAAGTACAATTTATAGTGGAAACTTCCATCTACTTATACATGACCTAAAATAATGTCCAATTTGAACTCTTCATCTCTTTCTTCAGCTCCATTACAACTGACACTTCCTTTTGTTTTCTCTCTTCTAGTGAAAGGAAACACCTATAGCCCAATAAGAAATCTGTGAATACAGGTTATGGCAGACAATGGGTTGCACACATTTTTACTAAGATAGAAAAAACTGGTCTATGATGAAAAGTTATTAAACCTTTAAATAGATTTATATTGCTTTCCTGTGATTTTTTTTTATATATAAAATACTTTCTAAGTAAACAATGATAAGTTCTTAAATTCCTTTGTGAGATAAAATAGTAAAATTCATGTTTCATAAGCAAACCCCGGTCAGGGGATTGTGAACCGCTAAGGACGACAGAGGCCACATTTTATAAGTCAGTGGTTGGATCCGGCAGCATGAAGTGTGGATTTTTCTGACCTTATTTACTCTCCGTTACGAATAAATACATATTTTAAATTCATTATAATTCCTATCGCCGTCGCCACCGTAAGCTTGACAGTTTCCCAATATTTAAAAGACTTTTCTGATGAGATCAGTAGTGATATTAATGAATGTGAATTTTTGATATTGCATAATAAAATATGTTAACATTTGGAAGGTCCATATAACTCAGTGAACTAATATGATCCAAATGACGAATGCATGATGCTAAAAAATAGTTAAAAGTCCATTTAAAGTACAAAATATATCAATGGATGTTAATGTAGCAGAGCATAAAGAGTTCATTGCTATGGTTTCAGATACTACGCTTCAATAACTTTAAAAAACTACTACTTGTCAAGTTTTAGTGTAGTATTAAATAAGAATATCCATGACTTTCTGAATAGGATATTAATATCCTCCCTTTTCCAAGAGCTTATCTGTGTAAAGCGGGAATTTCTTTTTACGCTTCAACCAAATGAATGTATTAAGCAGACTGATTCCCCAACAGATGTGAAAATCCAGTTCTCTATATCAACCTAGATATTTTTTAAATTTGAAAAATGTACACAATGATATATATATATGCTTTACTGCTAAATTGTACACCTGAAACTTAGTGGATTTCATTAACCAATGTCACTATAATAGATAGATAGATAGATAAATAGATAGATAGATAAATTTGAAAAATGTGAAATTCCACTTTTTAAACTTTTTTGAAAATGGTTATTTGCATAAAATATTTGCTACCATACAATGAGTTTCCTATTGTTATCTTTAAATTAATATTTTTAAAATTTCTAATTTATTGGTAAATATCAATAGCTATAACCTACATACACAACAGCTCTTTGGTGGTCTTCAATAATTTTTAAGAGTAAAAGGAGTTCTAAGACTAAATAGTTTAAGAACCACTGATTTATCTATATAGTTCTTCAATGTTGACCTTTAGATTATTTAATATTTTCCAGGTACTGGGCAGACATTAAAATAAATAGAATTCTAGTTATAAAATATGAAAAACAGAGTATTTGAAATCTCCTCAATGAAACACAATGAAATTATGTGTTCTTTATAAGATCAACTAAAAGCTATCATAGGTGTACATGCCCGAAATGTATCTGAAATTACTGTTTGACAGTATAACTAGAAAGCAGTTCAGTACTGTAGTTTTAAAACATAATAGTTGCCATGAGTGCTGGACTATATATTTTTCATGAAAATGAATCCATTGCAAGGTATTTCCTTCATCATCACAGCCACCTTTAATCCCCATTATCTGCCATTTTCAAAATGTTAACCCTGCCATTTTAAAAACTGTTATATGCCATGCAGTCTTACCAACTTTATAGATATGAGTTTATTAATGCCAGTAAATATATTAAGGAGTTATCTGCAATAAAGCAACATCATTTAACTCGGTGGGTCCCAGGGTGTTACCAATATTGGTGTCATGAGAAATAAGCCAAATTTTTAATAAAACATTTGTAGATGGCCCTGTCTTTATGAGAATTAAGGTAATGCAATAGTATTTTGCTGATGTCACCAATATTACATCTACATAAATAGGTGTCTTCATATATATTTTATAATGACATTAAAAAAACAAAACAAAAAACAAACCAAAAAAAACAACAAAGCCCTGTCATTATCAGGGTGAAGAATGGTTAAATCTCCAGACTTAAAAAGATACATCTACCTAAAACTTTCAAATATGAAAGGGAAATGATGTTAAAATATCTGCATGAGTACTGAATATGCAACTTTGGAATATTTCTCACATAAAAATGTTGAATAGCTGTTGCATCGCCTTCCTGATTTTTAAAGGGCATAGAGGGGTTAAGACTGTGAGTTCTGGAATTATAGTACTTGGGTTTAAATTCCAGCTTTACCATTTACTGGTAGTATAACACTGGGCAAGGTACTTAACCTTTCTGCGCTTCAGTTTCCTTCTTGTTAAATGGAGATAATAACAGCGACTATCTTATAGAATTGTTGTACAGGCTGCCTGAAAAAATATACACATAAATAACTTAAAACAGTGCTTGATACACAAAATATACTCAATAAATATGAGCTACAATTGTTATGTTATTATTAAGTACTCTTATTTAGTTCTTCAAACCACAAAACCATGGTATCCAGGGCTGACAATGACAAATGGTGGATGTAGGAATCTATGTGACTGAAAAATATTTTTCTTACCAACATTAATATTCCTTTGGTCAAGAAGGAGATGGATATTAATATTTATTGAATAAGAGCTCATGTAAATGTTAGGGCTAAAAAAAGTAGTAAGCATTGAAATGAAGTAGAAATAACTATCAATACATTCTATGAGGTCACGAAAGAGTTATATTATTAGATTTCATAAAATTTTGCAGAATCTCTTTAATAACATAAGTAGACATATTTTAGGAGATTAAATAATGCTAAGAGGTCATTGGACAGCTGTGTTTGGATTAGTATCTTCTGCCTAAAGCTTTGAGACTAAAAAAACAGCAATTTCTAAAAAAAAAAGTTAAATAAAACAAAAAAAGTCTCCTCATGTGACACAGAGGGCACATCTAACTTAGAAAATATAAATTAATTGTTGGATGTTAGTTGTTATAGTATGTCAAGTATCTAGCATCACTACTATGCAACACTTCAGGATTAAAATGTGCAAAATTTACTCATTTGACAATTTGTTAAATGCATACAGATAAAACAGCCACTGTGCTAAATACTGGGGAAACAAAGATGAATGAAATACAACCACTTCAGGAACTTCAAAACTTTTTGAGGAGATATGTATGTAAACAAATAATTCAAATACCACGCGCACACACACACACTTTTTGAGGAGATATGTATGTAAACAAATAATTCAATACCACGCACACACACAAAAATGCTTAAAAAAGAGAAATTTGAATTGTGTGCTCTGAGAACTTGAAAGGGACAGGACTAATTGCCTGGGGGATAGGAAAAGACTTTATGAAAAAGATAACAGTTGAGCTGGACTTTAAAAGTGAACAGTTTTCCAGAGTGAAGGAGAGACATTCTAAATATTGGGAACAACATGTGTGCAATAAGTATGAAGCAAAAATAAATCTGGAGGATGGTACCTTTTCACATGGCTAAAGCAGTAGATGCCTGAGAGAAAAATGTCAGATTGTGTCTCCTATGCCTTGGGCAATCCTATGGGCAATGAGGTCCCAGGAAATGTGTTCCACCAGAAAAGTTGACAAACCAGTTTGATGTTTTAGAAAAACAACTCTTGTTCTACTCTGGAGGATGCACATATATATATAACACAACCCAAATCTGAACCTGCTAAGTAAGGACTCGGTTGAGCTACTATTCTTTTCTTGCAAAAAAAAAAAAAAAAAGGCTGCTTTTGCAAAATAATGTCCCTAAACTGATGATCACAAATCATTATAAATTGCATCATCGAGACTAAGAGAACCAAAGTGCACACATAAATACATCATATTAATGAACAATTATAACGATGTCATAGAAAATTCTTAATAGGACAAATAATAAAACAAATATTCAGCCCTGGAACAGAAGTAAAATATTTTAAATGACAAAAAATTATGTATACTCTAAAATAGCAACTATAAAGTAGTTTTACTTTTGTTACTTTGGGGCTCTTTTCAAAACTTCCATAATAAGCAAGCAGTACATTTATAATCAAATAAATTTTAAAATTATACTGTTCATCGCATTTCATAAACAATTATCTTTACGCAAATCTTAAAACTAAAATATTACCTTTTTGTCTCCTTGTTTTCGTCTTCTTAACCCTGGTCTATAATCATCTCCAAATCTCAGAAAATAATAGTAAGAAACTAGCCTTTCAATAGGATCCCTTATGACATTAATGTAAATTGGCTTTTTCTTCACACCAAATCTGAAATAGAATGAAATTTAAAAGGTGAAATAGACATTTTCATTCTATTTAGGGGTGTCCGTAAAATATGATTTCAGTTATTGATTCTACATGAAAACAACAATATGAGCTAATTTAAATAAAATAGAATATCTGGAGATTAGGAAATATTTTATGATTATTTAGGTTATGATAAAGTAAATAAGAAATAAGAATTTTAAAATTAGAGCTGAAAATAGAAAAGAAAAAATTGAATAAAAAATAATTTAAAATTTTGCTGGCAAGAATTACATAAAATATTGTAATTTTGTACCACAATGATTTCTCATTTTTGTCCTACTAAACTAGACAAATATTATTAACGGATATAGTGTAAGTCCACACAAGTGTGACCAGTTGAGTCTGCCTTCTACTATTGGTGATTTTAAAGACAAGAGAGAAGTGAAAGATACTAAATTTTCAGCATTATTTCCTGAAGGAATGATAAAGAGTTGAAGGAATATAGGCTTTGACTTTAGCAACTCTTGCAGACTGTAGAATTGTCCAGCTGGCTCCCTATTTTAATATCTTCACCTGTCCCAGTCTTGAAACCTTAGTGTTACCTTGACTTTTCCTTCATTCTTCATTTAGTTCAGCTCCCAAGTCCTTTTGATTTTTCACTTGTAGGCTTTCTCACAGATATGACCTATCTTCATCATTCCCTTTCTCTTCATCATTGCCTTCTTCCTAGGTCTCCTGCTTAGCCTAGTGAAATAGCCTAGTTGATTCTCTTTCTTATATGCTGTCTCTCTCCCTTTCAATCTACTTTCCATACCAATTCTCAACTGATATTCCTAAAGAACTATTTGTTAGATAACTCTTCTTAGAAACATGAAATAACTCTACTGTTTACGTTGACATCAAACCCCATCTCCTTTGTCCTGGTTGCTAATATCTCTTTGCCTTATGTCTTAGGTACCACTTTATTAATCTAACTTTATCTTCAACTCTCCTCAAATAAGAGACCATTAGTCTATTATAGACAGGCCTGCCTAGTCTACCCCCACACACATATATCATATTTATTTCTATTTCTTCATACATTCTTTTGTTCATTTTGTCTTCCTTAATAAGAATGCAACCCTCATTTAAATTTTTTTCTTTCTATTATATTAATTCACTCTAGAAATACTTTTCCATGTACCCAATATATATGCCAGACATTATTTTAATACTAGAGATACAGCAGGAAAAAAGAAAAAAAAAAAAATTCATTGCCCTCATAGAGCTAACATTCAGATGGCATATAATGGCTGTGTGTAGAGCCAGATGGGTGATAGAGTAATCGGGGGGATCATTTCATAAATTATAAATTATACGAATGTCTAACCAATGTACTGTATACTTGAAACTAATAATAAAATAAAATAAAAAGCTAAAAAAAGTACTAAGGAGAAATACAATGCACTGAAAGGAAATAGGGAGTTCCAGGAGAAGTGAGGAGAGTACAATCCAAAACAAGGTTTTTCAGAAAGGTGTCACTGGTGGTATGTGAAGAGAAGGGAGCCATGTAGATATCTGGGGGAAAGTGTTCCAAGAAGATAAGCCTTTCAAGTATGAAGGCCTTGGCTGCAGCAGAATCAGAAAGGGGATATTAACAGAGAGATGGGATTGGGGTGGAGGAAGTGTATATCATGTGGGTCTTGTAGGCCATTATAAGAATCAGGAGGGAGGCCTGACTGAGTCAGCAGAGAAGGGTCATAATACGGGATCTAATGAACAGCAAGGTGACTACAGTTAACAATACTGAGTAGTATACTTGAAAGTTGCTATGAGAGTCAATTTTAAATGTTCTCACCATAATAACAACAAAATGGTAACCATGTGAGGTGAAAGATGTGTTAACTACCCTTATTGAGGTAAACATTTTACCATATATACATGCACCAAATCATCCTGTTGTACACCTTAAACTTACACGATGTTATATATCAATTATATCTCAATAAAGCTGGAAAAAATAAAGGCCATTGGCTGCTGCTTTGAAAGAAACTGTAGAGGGGCAGGCAATAGGAAATCTTGTAAAGTCCATGATGCCTTCCTGATGACTCCAGCATACAGTGCTATCTGCTTTCATTTGACACCTGTACCCAGGAGGTACTGATATCAGGCAATTTCTCTCTTAGCAGGTACTTAGTAGTGTTTCTCTTGTAAACCTTTTGTCTCCAACAGCATTATAAGCCACTTGAAGGTAGGCACAGTACTTTACACTTCTTTTATATATTTCACAGGGCCTAGTATACATACATACTTGCCTACTGATAGTACTACTTTGAAACATTAAAAAATATTAGCAATCTCTCTGAAAATGGAAATCACAATGAGAAAGGATAGAATTAAGCCTAAGTTGGATGACTCTGAGTAAGAAACAGTGGAAATTGCTTATTCTTTTAACCACTTTTGATATGCTCACTCATCTGCCCACAGAAACCCTCAATTTAGCTAACAGCTTATAACAAACTTCCCTTCTTACTAAAATCTTTTTGCAAAGGCACTAAAAAGCGTATAGCTAAACTAACCAATTTCACATTTTCTCCTTATTTCTGCCTATTATACTCAGTGCCTTACACACAGTAGGCATTTTATAATTGTTTTATACTAAATTCTTAAGCAAATGAGTAGTAAAAAGGGACTATAGAAGAGAAAAAGCAAGGTGCCCAGGTAACTTGATTTTTTTCCCCAACAAATTATTAAAAATTAACTGAACAAGAACTTCCTAACTTACAAATAGGTTAAATTCTATAAGAACTACTTTCTGTGTAAAAGGGGATCAGCTCTATTGAATTCTAGTCCTTTTCTCACCATTAAATAACTCTAAGTCTCTAAATTCTTTGTACATATAGAAATATTGGAAACTATAGAGAATCCTTTTGCAAAACATTACTATAATATTATAGTTGTAAGTTGGTTGATTAGAACTTGGGATGCATTTTTTTCATTGAAAAATTCATAAACCTACATGGCCAAAAATGCAGTAAAACTTTTTTCACAATTTTTTTTAAAGAGAAAATAGTATTGTTGCACGTATTCAGCATTGTCACATTGCATCTCAGAGTAGAAGTTCCATGAAGTTAGTGACTGTTTTCCTCCTGTTCAGGGCTTTATCACTAGTGTTCAGCATGGTGCTGGACACATAAAGTGTCCAATATTAGTAGTATTAAGTTGAACAGACTTGCGAATTAGCCACTGACAAAGCCTTTCTGTGGGAGAGTGCACTCAGTATTTAGAAGAGGGGAGGGAGGCATCAGGAATACATAGTTGCTACCTTAACTGAGAGAGCTTGAGATTCTTAGCATAGGAATCTACAAGAAAGGGAAAGCACTGGACGATGGTGCAATGACTCCATTCTTAAGACTGTGGGATTCCCTGGGAACCCTCTTTATCTTCTCCATTGTTAGCTACTGACCCACCCTGAGCCATTCGCTTGGAAATTTCTTCCTCCCAGAAGAACATCTCCCACCAAGCTTCCTCTTTTCCCCTTTCCCCTAGTTCTTGACATATGGAACAGATAGCAGTTCTTACCAAGTAGCAGTGAAAAGGGGATATGGCACTTTAAGAGACTCTTTGTGCTGTCCAGGAAATGACTTTCTGGGGTATGGCTTTGGGTGACATTGATAGGTATGATTTTAATGAGATAATTTGTGTGAATTCATTCTGAAAATGGATAAAAACTATTATTTGTAAGTTAGGATATGGTCACATAGACATGGAGGCAAGGGATTAAAACAGAAAATAGGCATGATAAAAATAGTATCTGGCCATTCAGCTCAGCTGGTTAGAAAACAAGCATCCTTTTAGGTTTGTAGGTTTAATTCTTTTGCCAACCAGGTAGTTTTGCACAGGGGGAAAAATATATTCTATGGTCACAGACTCCACCTTTAACCCTGGCCAGTCATCTAAGCTGCTACAGGAGGGCTCAGGTAGAAGAGTAGAAAACGCATCTTCACTCCAGGAAAATAAACTATTATTAGCTTGTTAGACCATGATCTTCCTGGAAAGAAAAGAGTATATCTGGTAGGAATCTGTGGTATTATATAGGATCAAAAGGGAAAAAGTATAACTTGAGCAGCAGGTTGGTAAAAAGACATTTTAGGAACCTTATTCTTACCATGTCAGCATATGTGGTATGATAAAACGATGAACACAAACTAGGCTCATTTCTTTACAGCAACACTCTACATAGCTTGGATAGATGAATGAACATCAAAAATGGTTAAAAGACCAAGTACATACTCAGAACATTTGAAGGGAACCTTGTCAACTGTCTAGACAAAGCCTAAATGGAAAATGATGAAGCTAAAAGCTGAATAGCCTTTGGGAAGCATTATGCTTTAAGGTGTCTGCTTTGTACTAGATTTAACATCTCTAGTTAAACAGCAGTCTCACTGGGGACATTGACATACATATTTATTCTGGACTCTCTTAGCCCTAAAATGTTCATAGAAACTTTCAAATCCTTCTAGTGGCAAGTTCCCATTGTCTTGTTTCAAAAATAGTGAAAGACCTGTTTGTCCCACTGATGATAATCTTGTGATTTCTGAAGTAATTATCTCTTAAAAAGGGCATTCATCTACTATACATCTACTAGAATGGCCCAAATAGGAAGGAAGGAAAGGAAAAGGAAAAGGAAAAGAAAGAAAGAAAGGTAGGTCTAACAATACCATATGCTGGCAAGGATGCACAGCAACTGGAACTTTCATATACTGTTAGTGACACTGCAAAATAATACAGCCATTTGGGAAAACAGTTTGGCAGCATCTTACAGAGCTACCACACAGTTCAGCAATCCCACTTCTAGGTTTTAGTCACAAGAAATGAGGACATGTATTTCCACACAAAACCTGCACGCAAATGATTTGGCAGCTTTACTAATAATCACCAAAAACTGGAAACAACCCAAGTATCCAGAAACAGTTGAATGGGCAGAAATTGTGGTGTATAGGTACAATGGAATACTACCCAAAAATGAACTAGCTACTGATACACATATATAATCGGATAAATGTCAAAAGCATTAGGCTAAGTAAAGAAGTCTGACTCAAAAGACCTGGCGAGTGATTAGACAGATGTGGAGAAGAAAAGAGCTGTCCAAGACAAAAGTTTCTCACTTGGATTTCTTGATAAATAAAAATAGGTTAACTTCCCAAAAAGGAATAATGGAGGGAAAGACAGATTCTTGAGCAATGCCTCATTAAGAGTTGGGAGTAAGAAGGGCCAGCAGAAATTCAGACAGGGAAAAGATGAAAACACTAGTAAGACAACATGATAACTAAAAGAAGACAGTTTTAAAAGAACTAACACTACTCTGTGTGAGACACTGAACTAAGTACTTCACATACATTATCGTATTTAATCCTCCCAACCACCCACGAAGTAGTTATTTTAATTATCCTCATTTTACAAATGTGGAAACTGAAGATCTGAGGTAATGTGGCTGAGACTGCAGAGCTGGTAAGGAGTTGTGGAGATTTAACTGCAGATCTGTCTGACTTCAGAGACTGCTCCTAACAGCCTATATGATCAGTGCTGCAAAAAAGGGCTGGAAGTACAAGGTCAAAAAAGGGGCAACTCTCACAAATTAATGATTAAGGATGTAATGATTAAAGTAATTTTAAAAATGTTTCTATGGTGTTGTGATATGTTGAAAGTTGTAGAAAATGGTGCA